GAGAGAAGCATTCAACCACCTTAATTTAGTGAAATTAAAAAAACACATACAAAATAAATAAAGAAAAGTAAAACAAATTAAAAAAAAAAATTCAATTCATGATTGGTAAAAAAATTAAAAATATAAAAAACAAAAGAAAGGGAAAATACGAAAAGAATTAAAAAAGTATAGCCTGAATTAGTAATTGGGTAAAAAATTAAAAAAAAAAATTCAATTCATGATTGGTAAAAAAATTAAAAATATAAAAAACAAAAGAAAGGGAAAATACGAAAAGAATTAAAAAAGTATAGCCTGAATTAGTAATTGGGTAAAAAATTAAAATAAAAAAAAAAAAGTAAAACAAATTAAAAAAAAAAATTCAATTCATGATTGGTAAAAAAATTAAAAATATAAAAAACAAAAGAAAGGGAAAATACGAAAAGAATTAAAAAAGTATAGCCTGAATTAGTAATTGGGTAAAAAATTAAAATAAAAAAAAAACAAAAGTACAAATGCAAAATAAAACAGTGAAGTCCACATTCGCAATAAGTAGAAAAATTATAAACATAAAAACAAAAACAAAAAATTAAAAAATAACAAAAAATTAAAAAAGTGAAGCCTAAATTCGTAGTCTAGCCTCCTCCTGGTGGGCTTCGGAAACTACATTATATGCAGGCTGACTACAGGCGTATTTTTTATGCCGGCCGTATCTGATTTGTCATTTCGAATTTTTGTCGATTTGACATACATACATACTTTCATAATATTTACATACCCATTGTTTTAATTTTTCACGTTGATGAAGAGTTTTACACGACTTCTTATTCTATATGTAAATAATCTTGTGCAAGCCTAAAAAACTTAAATTTTTTTTTCAAATTTCTCGTTTGAGGTAATATATTTTATTCGAAATTTTGCTATTTTGAACTCTGGGTGGGAGGGGCGATCGCCCTCATCGCCCGATTATAATTTTGTATCAATACTATACCTCGTTCAGCAATATCATTAACATATTTAATATTCTTAATCGTCTCTAAGACAACCAAATTTAATGCACTACAAGAATGTGCCTAGAAAAAGATTTTACCGCAAACGTGTCAATAGTTATAACATTTTTAATGCAACATTTTTTCATGTTATTTACGTGGAAAATTACAAATGCCCAACGACAGCTTTTAAAATTGGAGTAAAATTTTTTCCAAAAGGGAGAATTTTCTTAGTAAATTAGTCCTTTTAAGGCCATAAATTCGTTAGGTTAGTTTATTTGGATCACCCTAATGTATATGATACATACATACCAACATATGCATCATATGTAGCCTTAGCTTAACGCTTGAGTGCATTTGGAAATTTTTTAAATAAGTGTTACTGTTTACCGTAATTTTAAGTAAAAAAATATTTTTATTTGCGATTATTGCTGCTGTAAAGTGTAAAATGTGTTTATAAATGCACAAATGTATGTGGATATACATCTATACATATGTATGTACATATGGGTATACATAACAATTAAAGCCTTTGGGTTTGAAATATTTTTATGAGATTAGAAGATAACAAACACTTCTAAATATACTTACCCACTGGGAAAATAGGTAAGCACCTTACGAGGTAAGCCATGTTTTCTTTCAGTTTTTAGTACCAAAATTGTCATCATGGCCAATGTCATCTACTAGTAAAGCACAAAATGAATACCTCCAACGACACATTACGTTGTCAGTTGCAAAGTAACGTGCAGCCGAAGTTATCTCCAAGCGCCGAACTACTCCGAGCGACTTCTCTGCATTACACGTAACTTACTTTGTAAAGCGGCTCAGAAGTATGTCTGATACCAAATGTACATTCTAAATTCCTAATTACATAAGGCGGCCATGCCTTTGTAAAAGTAAGGGACGTTCGGCAGGGAAATGGCAATGACTGCCAAGTGAAGAGTAAGTTGCTAATAAGGTATTATTACGTGCTCCTAATTCCCACTGGGTAATTATTAACCTGTACGGGTATTAAGTTATGCATGTATGTACATACATATACATATTTAGTTTAGTGCATATAAGATATCACGAAATTCCTTGCATGGCTCGTTATTCGACAAATGATTTGCAAATTGCTTTTTCATGCCGCAGTTAACATTTGTTTTTATCAACCCAGCAAACATTTGAAGTCATAAATGAGTCTTTGAAGAGACCTATTTCGGAGCCTTTACGCTCATAATGAGCTCATTTAAGTGTCCGATATGAAGGTTTTTCCCTTCCTCCGAAGGTCGACTTACGAGCTTATGAACTAAAATTCATACATCAAATGAGCCTCAACATGAGTCATATTCGAATCTTATTGGCCTCATATACGGCTCATTTTAGACTCTTTTAAAACAATTTTTGGCCTCATATATGAATCATTTGAGACTACTTTTGAGGCTCTTATCGGCCACATAAGTTACTACATTCGGACTCTTATTTGTGATTGTTCTTTGAGCCTTATTCAACGCACTATATTTGCAAAGGCATTCAGCAAATTTTATTTTTTTTTCAAATAACATAGATACCTAGTTACGTACATATACACATTCCAACATGCATTTAATAGCAACAGCTGCTAATTTTTTTGTTTTCTAATTATTTTCAATTTCTGTATAAAAAATTTTAAATATAAATTTCGAATATTTATTGTTTTTATAATGGTACAAGGTGCTGGCACATAACTTGGATCATATATGAATCCTTAAAGATACATTTAAAAGTCGCACATCTATCTAGGACTCCTTTCGGACTCATATATTCTGAACGCTCAGAATTTGTTTGCGGGGTGTTTGCGGGGTATGTTCACTTCACATTTGTTTTCACAATGTTGGTGTTAAGTATGAACGTCTGTAGCATGCATGTCTTTCTTCAATCGACAAATGAGCTACAATTAACAAACTACAAACGATTTCTTTATTATACTTATGTATGTATGTGTGCATTCGTACTGATGCATGTCCCACTGTGAAAATAGGTAAGCCATTTAGGAGGTAAGCCTTATTTTCTTTCAGTTTTTAGTACCAAAATTGTCATCATGACCAATGTCATCTNATACTGATGCATGTCCCACTGTGAAAATAGGTATGCCATTTAGGAGGTAAGCCTTATTTGCTTTCAGTTTTTAGTACCAAAATTGTCATCATGACCAATGTCATCTACTAGTAAAACACAAAATGAACACCCCCCACGACACATTACGTAGTCAGTGGCAAAATAACGTACCACCGAAGTTATTTCCAAGCGCCGAACTACTCCGAGCGACTGCTCTGCATTNGGAACACCCCCCACGACACATTACATAGTCATTGGCAAAATAACGTACCACCGAAATTATTTCCAAGCGCCGAACTACTCCGAGCGACTGCTCTGCATTCTCCGTAACTTACTTTGTAAAGCGGCTCAGAAGTATGTCTGATACCAAATGTGCATTCTAAATTCCTACTCACATTAGGCGGCCACGTCTTTGTTCAATCAAGGGAGATTCGTCAGTTAGGTGGTAAGGACCGCCGGTTGAAGTGTAAGTTGCTGGTAAGGTATTGCACTACTACATTTTCCCACCTAAAGGAATTAATTAGCATTGTCGCCGTGTTGCCATCCCAATTAGTACGGTTGTTCAAGACACTCAAAGGTACCGCATATTCGCTGATGCTGTCCAACAGATGGCTTGCAATTTGTATGTATGTATGTATATGATGTGTCCTGCAGGGAAAGCTACTAGTTGTAAACTACATTTCTTATCCTTCTTGATCGGCGCTGTAACCGTCTAACCGACGCTAATTGGAAATACCAATGGAAGCCAAGTCCTTCTTTACCTGATATTTCCATCACAGGGGAAGACTTTTCTTCCTTTAATACCAGCGGCGTGGCTGCTCCGTTGTACCTGTTGTACTTTTGAGCTCAATGAAATTTGATAACGTTTTCGGCGGTAGTACCTATTGAGCTGGAATCGTGATTCTACGAATATGTAGGTTTGTTGAAGAGTGTTCTCTTGATAATAGGTGTTAGAGTGGAGTTGGAAAGTTGGTGATTGATTGTACTATTGCAGCTTTTCGAAAGGAAAAGATATAAATCTGAGTCGATGTTTGGCTTTATGATTCTATGTACGTCCAAAACATTTGAAGCCTTCATTCCATCTTTGGCTTTTGTATTGAAATTTGCTGCATAATAAAAATTTTTCTTCAAAATTTAAATAAATAGGTCGAAGTTTTTACGAAGGTTTACTGAATTTGTGTTAAATATTAGATAAAATTTTAAACTTGGATTTAAACTCCCCCCCGACCATTTATTTGAGATAGGCACGATCAAGGCGAGTGAGAGCTTAAGATCGCCATAAGTACATATGTGTGCTTGCTGGAGGTTGAAAAACGTCCTGAGCAGAATTGACTACGGCTATTTCCGGTGTTCCCTTGACAATCATACAAACCGTCCGTTTTACCTATTCCATCTTGCATCTGGACACAGTCTTGATTAACGACGACCATCAGATAGTGATCCCGTAGAAGAGAATGGTTCTTATCAGAGCTGTGCACATCCAGTGTACAACATTTGGTTTTATTCCCAATATATTCCCTATAGCCGCTATACTGGCGTATGGGGCGGTAATGGCTTTCCTGGAGTGACCTTCCATGTTTCGCTTCAAGTCGACTTTTCTGTCTAAAATAACCTCAAGGACCACGGTTGAGAAAGTGAATTCTACCACATTTAGTGAATAGAGGAAGCTTATGTTTCCTCAAGACGAGCACAATATCGGACTTGGTAGGAGTTACACTGGAGTCCACGCTGCTTGGACCAGATATTTACTCGACTAATATCACTTTGGATTAACTCATTCAGGACTTGCATATATATACCAGTTCTAACGAAGAAACAAAATTCATGTAGAGTATCTTCAGTTGAAAGAACGGACCTGTAACCAAATTTCTTTGAACATTTTTTAAAATAATTAAACACTATTTGCATTTCTTCCATTTATTTTTTCATAAAATTTTACTCTTAAGAATACTTACATATAATATTTATAACGTAAGTGCATATTGATTTAAATCTTATGAACTATTTTTACAAAACTAATTTTATATGAAACAAATGGTGACAGGCAACAAAATCGACGGAAATAAGGTCAATTGACACTATTTCGCATACTGGTGCGTCACCTTGCCCGCCGTGCTGTGACGCAGGTAGATATATTTTTAGTATAGTTTTTACTTAAAGTTTTATATATTAAATATATCTTACATATTTAACATTTTTATATTTGTAAGTTATTGTAAGAGTTTTTCTGTATTGAGGCAATCAGGGCATTTTGCATTTTTTCTTTAAATCGACCCACTTTAAGCATTGTTGACGGTATTTCCATTTAAATTAGGAAATAGCATCATTTACTTAATTTCCAAATTTTTGTTGACTTTATTTCGCTTTTGAAAAGGAAATCACGTCAATTGATTTTATTTCGCATCACTGTGGGAAATAGTGTCAGTTGACGTTATTTCTGTTGATCTTGTTACCTACCACCGAAATAAATAAGTATTGAGGACTAACCTTCCTGAAGGCTGAATTACTGGTGCCATACCATAGCCATAACCACAACCATAGCAATTAAATGTTCCGTTAAAGCATACACGCAGCTCTGTAAACGATTATTAGAGCCATATTATAACGCCAGAGCCGGATCTATTCTATTTTAGTTTTTCGCCAGAACCATAAGCAGCTCTGAAGTATTTTGCTTCGTTATGGAGTTATGGTTAGGGCCCTTCTAATTTGGCCTTTAAGCCTAATACTAAGTCTACATATAAATAGATTATCCTCATTTTCGAGCTTAACTCTCTAATCTGTAGTTAGAAAAAGAAATTAGCTATACAAAATTCGTCCCTCGTTAATCTGTAATTATAAAATAATCTCAGATTAAACCGATAACTTTTCGGTGTCCAACCTAGTTTTATCGATTGTTTTTGCGAAGAAGAGGAGAAATGCAAAAAAAAAAATGCGCTAGCAAAGAAAAGAGGTTTGTAAAGGTATTTTTAAACAAATATTAAGTTAAATATATTTAAATTGCTTAATATAGCAGAAAAAAGCGATCACGGTGGCACAGAGATGGAACTTAAATTTTCCTTCAGATGTGAGAATAATAAGCACAAAAAATTTGACAGCTAATAATCTAAGATTTGCCTGTGTAAACGGGTTATTTATAAAATGAGCTTTGATTGAATTTATATTTATATGTGAACATACTTTAAGCTCCATACTTTTGCCGCACCTCTGATATTTTTAGTAAACTTTTTGTTTAGGTTTCTTTTTTGCAGCGAGTGTATTTGGATATCCGTTCGTATATTCGTGTATACAGATAAAATCCGGATATCGGATATCCAATTCACATCTGGTTAATATCCAGATATTCGGATTTTTTAATAAGATATTCGAATATCCGGATTATATGGATAAAAAAATAAATAGAAACTGGGATAGAACTCCCAGCCCTAGTTATGAAGTTATGACACTGTTTTCACTATGTACCTACTTACAGAGTAATATAGCCAGGTGAACATACATATTTAGCCACATTGCGAGCGTGGTGTATGTCGGATGCAAGTCGTATCGAAAAATACATGTCATTGCTAAAACTTCGATTCGAATACTGTATTAAAATGGGAATACTTGGCAGCACTGGCTAGTTTTCGGCGTCTACTTATTTCAGCACGAAAATAGGCCATGCAGGTCAGTCAAATCGTGGGCTTAAGGCTATTTTGCGACGTACACAATGAGGCTGATTATTATATATATATATATAATATATATATACATATATATATATATATACGTAGATGAGAAGCTTACTTAAGTATATGCCAAGAAAGGCCTAATAAAACATTAAATATGTACTTATAAGGTAAATGTTTTTGTTAAATACTTCAAGAGAAGATCAGTCGTTGGCTCAGATCTTGATTAGGCGTGGGAATGTTCTGCGCCTGTATGTCATCCAGCGGCCGCCTCACAACGCGAAAATTAATTTCACGGTCACTTAAAGTGCCAGCAGCTATTTTCTATGAGAAAAAATGTGTTTAATATTAGTCCACAACAAAGAAATAATGCTAAATAATGCTTATACCTGATAACGATTCGATATCATCCACAATTCTTCCTTTCCCGAACCGTTTTTGTACACCTTCATGCCACTGACAAACTCTAATAAACGCGGATCTGCCGGCACTTCAATTTCATTCTTTACATTGTACGGATTCCACCTAATCAACTTGATCGGATTGAATGTGACACAATATAAATTCCGCTGACTGTCCATCGCTTCGGCAGCACATTCACTACTACGTTTGCCCACCATACGGAATTCATTTTGCATTGCCTCCATGTTGCCATCCCAATTTGTACGATTGTTTAAGACGCTCAAAGGCACCGCATATTCGCTGTTGCTGGCCAACGGATGGAAGTAGAGTTGGCGGTCATCCGTGGCCAAAGCAAACATGCCATCCATCAGCATGAAGCTTTCGCGTGCAATCGTGTGCGTGCCATAATCGGGATCTGGGTACATGAATTTATTCTCGGCACGCCAGGCGCTATTCGACTCCGAGTCATAGATAACCAGGCCATGATGTGTGACATCAGCCTTGAATGAAATATTAGTGTAAACAAGAAAAACATGAGCGTGTGAAGTCATGGTTCAGTTATGCATACTTAGCATTGCATGACAGTGCGTGAAAGTTGTCACTTAAGGAATCTACTCAAGAAAGCGACTATATTTCAAAGTGGAACTTTATGTATGCCTGACAATGCCAAGGTACATATAGTATACATAACACAGCCTCTAGCAAAAAAGAAAAACTGGTCTCACTGTAAGAGTACGTGAGCGGAAATTTTGGCTTGCAGTTTGTAATACATAGCATTTACATATGTACTTACAATGTAAACATGTAGGCGTTGGCAGCGGCCTTTTGGTGGAGGATCGTGCACGACAACAAGTGGAGTGATGAGTAGTGAAGCCACCGGCACGTACACGTTGCCTTCAAAGCGATAGCGATGCGCTAAGGTATCTGTATTTAGATCGAATATCAGTAGCTGTGGCGGACAGTTTTGAGTAGTTCCGATTACGCCTGAATCAATAACAAACATCTGATTGCACTCTGTGATCTACGCGAAGCAGAAGACATACATACATTAAAATTATTTAGGCATCTGAGCACTCTACATATGTGCTCAATGCTTTAACTTACCGCCACACGAAATGCGNTGCGAGGCAGAAGACATACATTAAAATTATATAGGCATCTGGGCACTCTACATATGTGCTCAATGCTTTAACTTACCGCCACACGAAATGCGGAAGTGATTTTATTACAATCTTCGCCATTGGCATTATGCCAAGTATAGTTAGGATATGGTATCAGAACCGGACCATTAGCTTCATTACTATCACTCACTGTGGCCAGCGTGTACGGGATGCCGGTTTGAAATCGGGGAATTGTGATGAAGACACGCGAACCCTTTTGAGCTGTTAAAGTTGAGAAAAGCAATATATGTAAATTTTTTTTTAAATTTTGCACTAAAGAGCATAATATATTTTTTTCAATAATTGCTTTGTAAATAAATATACATACATTGTTGGTGTGGCGCCACATCGATTGGTATTCCATTTGCTGGTACTAAATTACCATTGGCTAGTGCTTCTTGCCGATCTTGCTCGGTAGGGAAACCATAGACGAGCTGTTTCCACTGATATACTGTTTCTAAATTGTGCTGCTTTACACAGACTATGACCTGGAGTGTTAAGGCCAATATTAATAGAATGAAGCCTCCCGTCCACATGACGTAATTGGTTAGAAATGAACGCGTAATAAATATTCTGTAAGAGCAAAATAAAATATGCTTTTATTTGTTGATGTTATTTCATTTTTTTCTATGTAGTTATACATGATGTTCTTTACTTTAATTTGTATCATGGCTATAACTAAGATACATATAAAAGAAGACAAACATAATTAGGTCGAAGGTCTTTATACCCAGTGCTGCTCTAGATTTATTTGTAGATTAATTATTGGACAAATAATTTGTAAATATAAAAATTAACTAAGTTTTTGAAGTCGGTTTTGTTTTTTGCTTAAAAATTACTCGTTAAAAAAAATAATAATAATCATTTGGGGTATGTAATAAAAAAAATTAGTCAAAACTTGTCAATATGTGGGTGTCGTATACTTATGATAAGCACTATAATAATAATAATAATAATAATATCAATAATAATAATAATAATAATAATAATAGACTGGCGCGTACACATATGTTAGGCTTTGGCCCAGCTTCTCTTCCGATTTGTGGCGTGTGCTTTGATGTTGTGACACTGACTCTGAACTGCGATTGTATTTTTTATGAGAAACTGTTGTTCATGGCAGAATACACTCGGAGGTTCGCCATTGCCTGCCGAGGGGCGACCGCTATTAGAATACAACTTTTTTGTTTTTTATTTTTTGATGTTAGATTGAACCCAGGNAATTATTGGACAAATAATTTGTAAATATAAAAATTAACTAAGTTTTTGAAGTCGGTTTTGTTTTTTGCTTAAAAATTACTCGTTAAAAAAAATAATAATAATCATTTGGGGTATGTAATAAAAAAAATTAGTCAAAACTTGTCAATATGTGGGTGTCGTATACTTATGATAAGCACTATAATAATAATAATAATAATAATATCAATAATAATAATAATAATAATAATAATAGACTGGCGCGTACACATATGTTAGGCTTTGGCCCAGCTTCTCTTCCGATTTGTGGCGTGTGCTTTGATGTTGTGACACTGACTCTGAACTGCGATTGTATTTTTTATGAGAAACTGTTGTTCATGGCAGAATACACTCGGAGGTTCGCCATTGCCTGCCGAGGGGCGACCGCTATTAGAATACAACTTTTTTGTTTTTTATTTTTTGATGTTAGATTGAACCCAGGCCCTGCGGAATGGTAGCGTGCACTGCTAACCGATACACCGCAGCGGCCGCCGAGCATTAAAGCTGAAGTAAAAAATACAGCAACTAAACTGTTTAATCAAGTCGCGTGAAATTACATTTTTTTTAAATAGCTTAAGAAGACATCCAGAAATCTGCCTTTCTCGCCCAGAAATAAGGATGCAAAATATTATTTGCCTCATCGTCTATTTAGAGGTGCCCGACAGCATCAAATTTTGAAAAAACGGACATAATTCTACTTCACAGATTTTTAATTAACGAAGCAGACTTTTTTTAATCTGTATTTTTTCAGACTAATTTGAATCGCTGAATCTGAATTTGATGCTCATTTGGTTTTCCAAAGAGCGGAATGGACAGTGCATTGATGGAGAGTTGGCGCAAGGGAATGAAACCTAGCCGTAGTTTCCCAAACGTAGTTTCATGGACATCTCTAAAGTTGTAACGGGAGTGGGTGCCGAAATATACTGCCGGTAACTGAACCTCAGGTGGGCAGTGAGGTTATCTGACCAGTGCAGCATATTTCAAGCAGAGATCATCGCAACGATGATAGCAGCAGAGCTAGCCTCCACCGAAATGGCAATCAACTAAAAAGTAAACTTATACGTAGACAGTCAGGCGGCAATTAAGGTAGTTACCTCTAATCGTATTCCATCTTCATCTAAAATATCCTTCACAACCGTGAAGCCAGTAATCGCTATAGCGTCCCACATCCCCTGCGGCCATCGAGCCCCCACACATGCTAACATTGCCCTGCTTTTTATATGTATGTATGTATTTACATATCGACACTTAAGTGGAAGATCGACCTATCTCAGAAGCAAGTTCGAAAACGCCCTCGCAGAACTTTTCATGAATGCGCTACTTCAGATGTTGATTGAAAACACCACATCTTCAAATTTGGTTGGAGAACGCCCTCTTTCGGAACTCGGCTCAAAACCCTACTATCTCACCTGAAAATACATTGAAAATATGCTGAGATAGGGCGTTTTTTAATCGGCAGTTGAGATAGGGCGTTCTTCAACCAAATTCTGAGAAAGGGTGTTTTTCAATAAAATTCTGAAATAGGGCGTTCTTATATCAAATTCTGCAGTAGGGAGTTCTTGAAAAGTTTTTTGATATAGGGCGTTTTTGAATCGACAGCTGAGATAGGGCGTTCTTCAACCAAATTATGAGATAGAGTGTTTTCAGTAAAATTCTGAAGTAGGGAGTTCTTGAAAAGTTTTTTTGAGATAGGGCGTTTTCGAACTGACTGCAGAGATAAGTTGATATTTTACTCGGACATCGATATAATAAATTTGCAGCTGTAAACATTGAATTTTTTAAGTAATTTCTATTAAAACCTAACTCAAACATCAATATTTGTAAGTTAAAGATATGTCTCGCATACCAAACAAAGCCACTGAATGTTTAACTTACATGGAATAAATTACATAAAAGTATTTAAAAATTCTACTTGATAGAAGTTTGCTTAGATAAGAGCGTCATAAACTTCTAAACCGGTAGAATAGCTAAATATGTATTAGAAAACTTACCCAAATATTGCTTACCAAAAGATGTTAATTAATGAATATAATTTAATTTTTGTTTTGTGTGGTGTGTTGACGTAAACACTTTCACCGATTTTGAATTTTTGGGCGCGTATTTATGAATTAATTATTATAAAAAACGTACATCTGTTAACTGAAATATACTAGTACTACACTACAGCACAATAACAATAGCGTTTTATAATTTTGGAAATATTAAAAGTGTTGCTTTCGTTTGTTTAGTTTTTTACGCAGCTTAAATTTCGTGTGGAAGCGAAGACAAGTCTCTCCCCTTGATTAATAATAGCAAACCCGTACTTCTCGTATTTATTCAAAAGATTAACACTATTTTAAACGGTTTTGTGATAGAGTAATCGCTATCTTTCATTTATTATTTAAATAAACAAAATTATCACTTTTCCACTTAAACTAAAAAAAATCAGACGCTTTGAAGATCACTTCTTATTAAATGCTGCTGAATTGTACAAAACGCAAGATTAAAGTTCGGCAAGAAACTTGTTCAATTGGAAATTACTAGTGTGCATATGTATACTAACATGTATGTATGTATACATATGTATTTATATCAAAATTTTGTAGAAATTTAATTGTAAATAATATCGATAAGTATTTACATAAGTATACATATATTAAATATGTATACAGGTTTATATGTTTATCTGTACATGTGTAATGATCTGTGAATATTTATTAGTATGTATATTTAATGACACTGCGAAATAATTAGGCTTTGTTTTAGGGCTTCAACAAAATTATGTACGAATGTTAAGTAGTATCTACGCGCCAAGTCGTCACAACTTTTTTTTTGCAGTGGGTTAAAGTTTACACTTATTTGTCACACTTATGTATTTTAATTATACGAGTATATCATGTGGTGTTTTGTAAAAAGTAACATCAAAGATAATTCTTAGCAACAGAGATCTACTACACATAGTGAAACTGAGACAGCAATTTTTTCGTAGAACATTTTAAACTCTCAACTTTAAACGTAATGGATAGAAACCCATCTTCTTTTAAAGAAGTAACATTTGAGCTCATTTAAAACGGCTGATGGAGGGTTAAAATATTCTACAAAGATGTACTGTAGAAATGTTATAGGCCTTCATATAAATTTGGTGTAGGAGGATCTCTTTGAATGTATAATTCCATTAGGAGATAAAATGTACATGTGTCGAAGTATTGTCTTCAAAAACCTATAGTAAAATTTAGCGAGCAATTCTTTCGTACATATTTTTAACCCTTTAATACCGCTGTTTATGGGTCGCTTTGACTCCTTTCTGTAAAAGTTCATGAAGGAGAGGTTAAAATATCCTATTAAATATTAAGTGCAGAATTTTACTGAGAGTTGCTAAAGAACCAAAAATGCGATCACTAAAGATGAGAGTGTTACGCGGCGAATTCGAAAATTTAAGATATTTTCGTCGCTATGCACTTTGCCGCTTTCTCGCGTTTCTGAAAAATAACGGTTTGTTTTTGTCGCTATTATCCGAAAATGTATTGTCGCTCTCTTTATCGCGTCACTATGTTCTTTGCCTAATAACCAAGGCTGGCAAATCTAGGCAAATGCTTGCAAAAGCTTATTTTGCATATGTCTGGAAATTTTTTGATTTTTGCATATATTCGACTTAAGTGCTTATTTTTGAATATTTGACAACATTTCACACATTTTTGGGGGAAACACGATAGAAATGCGTGTGACAAGGTGAATTCATATACATATATGTACATATGTTTTTATACTTCTGCTACCACCTGGTATGAATTCGCCTTGATACTGCTAGAGCTTGAAGAAATCGGAACAAATTTGGTACTCATTTAGGAAAATTTTGGTTTTGTGAAAGTAGCTATAATAAAGCTTCAAGCAAAAAAATGTTTGACCATGAAAGAAAGTTTGCAAATTGTGACACCTGTGAAAGAGCATTACCAAATATTGACACAAATATATATGTATTCAAAAAACGTGAAAGTATTTTGGCCAGATATTATTTACTAGCTCCACAACTAGTAGTGAAGATCTATCGAAGTGCTACCCAGCAGAATTAAGTTTGTTCAAATGTTGCCCAACTACATCTACAGATGTGGAATGGAGTTTTTCTAATTATTCAACAATTTTAAACGACAAGAGAAGGTCAGTTTAGATTGCTAATTTAAAAAAGCATGTTTTCTAGATTTTGAATAAAAATATTGAAAAATTTGAGTAAACCTTCATTGATTTCGCATATTTGAGAGTATATTTTGGTAATTTATCAAGCTTTCTATAGCGCTATTTTCACTTTTTTTCTGGTATATTTTTGAAAGCCCTGCTAATGCTTAACACACCACTAACAATATGCCGGCGCAATTTTATTTTTTTTTTGAATTGTTGATCTATTGAGTTTTTGACCAAAACGTGTAAACACAAACCCACTGCAAAAGAAATTATGATTTGATTACCATTCACAGATACTAATGTTTTGACATTGTAATTAGCAGATTCGAGTCACTTTTTTATATTTTTTTCACACCATTCACTACTTTCACAGCAAAAGGCTTCAAAACATACCAAAACAGATCACTTTCTTCTTTAATTTTTGAGTTGAATTATAATCTTTTTCGAAGTAAATAAGGGCTAACTCATTTCAAGAAATAATTATTTCCGGATTGAGAAAAATACCACTCTTTCATCATGAATAAATGGTTTATGATAAACTCTCTTCATTATCACACTAAATTTTTACACCGAAATCGATTTGCTTTTTTACTTGAAGAGTTTTAGTCCTCCAATGTTCTTCCCACAAACATTACGCTTCTTCACTGCTTAGTACAAATATATATATATTGTTTTCTAACAATAACGGAAACGATGTTATCGTGTGCGATTACACGGAGAAACTATTTTATATATTCGGAGAAAATCGATACTCACACTCAGATCTCTCAGAAGCATCGAACGCTATGACAACAGCGTCAAGTTCGCCCCATTCATACGTTGTTATCTATATCATCCCTGCGGGAAATGTATCTAACTATAAGTTACCTTGACGTTGATTAAGTAACTAAAGGTCACTATTATTTGATATTTTTTAATGTCAACTAACTTGTAACTAACTAATTTTGGATATAAAATATTGATAAGAAAACAAAATTCTTTCGACCTTCCTTTTATTTGTCCTCAATTCGAAAAAGTATTTGTGAAGTGCAGAAAGAAAGTGTATTCAAAGTAAAATTTGTATGACGATATTTATGTAAAAACAAACTTGTCTAAAGAGAACAATATCCCGATTACGTCTGCATTACTTTTCAACTGAAAGTTATATATTTTATAGAAATCCCGCAAAAAGCTAACTACATGTTGGTTATTTTTTATCAATTGATAATTTTTTTCTGCAGGGATGCATGCATACATACATGTAACCATAGTGCACATATATGTATATGTAAGCATATCTTTAAAGCCTGGTTTCTTTTATGATGCGCGGATGTCGTACAGGTTCAACATACATACTATTCAGGTAGTTATGTAGCATCGCCGAGCTTGTTTTAAAATCTAGATTGAAACGGACACGAAGTAGTTTAAGGCGTTGTCGTCGTTTACATGTACTTAAGTACATTAGGGTGCATTACTCTCCACGCAAAACAAAAACCGGTACGCCTTTTCCATCGAAAATATAAAATTCAATATTTCTAGGGCTACCTCCAAAATATTTTAGAAAAAAATATTTTTTAGATTTATGTGAGATTACTTATTGAAAAATGCCTAAAAAAAAAATCAATTTTTATAAATAAAATTAGTTTTTAAAAATATGTTTTTCTTAAAATCACCTCAGGTGATAGAAGGGTTTAAGCTTATATGTTGGTAGGTATGCATAAAAATGTGTATAAATATTTCATCAACGGAATGAAAATAATAAAATCTTTGCAGGTATTTGCAAATCGGCATAGCTCACGTAAATCTAAATTGTTTCGAATTATTTTGGCGGAGATCTTAAAATTTAATAAACATTATAATTCCGCAACTTTTTTTTTTGGTGATTCACACTAATGTACACATATGTATATGTAAGTATGCATATGTATGTTCCCACTTGTATGTTACTGATATTTGTTTGGCGGGCTATAAATATTAGAAATTTATGGAATTGTTTCTGTTTTTTCTGTTTACTTTAGATGGGGAAATACTAAAATTGCAAAAATTGAGTAATGCAATACGCGTAGAGGCTTTTTTATGTACGTAATATGGTTTTCCAAACGATGATAAGTATTGATATATATTATTTATTTCGTATTTGAATTTTGAAACAATCTACTTTTGACAGTTACTCGGAAATTAAATATTCATTGTATTAGCCATAAACTTATTGTTCTCAGCTTGCGATTACCATAAAGTACATACATATGTATGTACTTAGTTGCCGTTTGTGTTTTCTGTGCCAATGTTCTTTTTTGGCGCTACAACCGCTTATTTCCATTCTGTTTTGCAAAGCTCCGCCAGTTGCTGACACCCTTTGGTACTTGATCTTTCCATAAAGTGAGTGGGCGCCCTTTGCCGTCTCGTTGTCCACCCATGGGTGCCGCCAAACAGTTGAGAAATGCGATCAAATGTCCAAGCTATCGTTTTATTTTTAGGCGATCAATTATGTTCGTGTCATTATAAACATCTGACAGTTCGTCATATCATCTGCCCGTCGTCCATGCAAACAGATTAGGATTAGAGATAGGCGCGTGAGTAATTTTGGCTCACGTTCACGCACGCTCACGTTGATGGTTTTGTAAATCACGCACACTCACGTTCTGTTAAATTTTTTCCAATCACGCTCACGCACGCTCACGACGTCTAGTTTTTTAATCACGCACGCTTTTTGACGGACATTTTTTCAGCTTAAACCTTATTTATATAAACAGAATTTCATATAAATATTATTATAAGAGCTTGGCCAAATGCCTTGCCTGGGATGAACGCTCTATAATTTATTTTTTACAAATACTATAATAATAATAATGTGTTACGAGTATAAAAAAGAATTCACATCAATATTCATTCAATGTAAATTTAAATTGACATTAGCTCATATTTTTGTTTAAAAATATTACTTTGTCGAGGTTTCCAC